CCGCTTAACTTCGGGTAGACTAAAAGACTTGATGGATCATTTCTTTATTTCAGTGTGGCGATCCTTACGACAAGGGTTTTGCTTAAAAGGCTCAGGAAAAATAAATAACGTTGGAGACGGATTAAACCTCGCCTTCTTGAAAAATGTTACACCTCTAGAGCCGGGCAAAGTATGTCCATATTTGGTGCAATGTTCACGCTCTCTATAGAGCTGCTCTCGGAAGTCAGGAATCCACAGTGTTTATACTTTCAGATGATGAGTGTTTATAACGGGTTCCATTGGGACCGTAGGCCAACAATAGCAAAAGAATCTTGCTGGGCCCTTAAAATAGATAGTTGCAGAGTGAAACAGCTCTTTGGTTGGGTAGGGATTTGGGGAGAGGAGGGAGGGAAAGGGAATGTAGTTAAATGTAGTACAGGTCTCTTAGAAGAAAAAGAATCTAACAGCAAACATCAAAACAGACACAACTGGAAATAAGACGGAACAGAGGAGTCTGCAAAGCAGACATGTGGGATGGCCGGGCACCGATTTTCAAGGAGCAACAGCTAAAAGCTTTTCACGTGTTGGCATTCCTCAGTGTAGTACCATCCCGATTTTTGTTTCAGCACCTAAAGTGAAATGGCAACTTAAAACAATGTGGGAGAATTTACTACTTCATCTGAAGCACGCTGCCTGAGCCTGAATTCTTGTCCCATCTGTGATGGCTTGCATTCAGATTTACGCCACCGTGTTTCACATGAATATAAACTAAGTATAAATAAGACCTAATCTGGATAAATAACATTTACATGCGAAACAAAGGCTGTTACGCAAAGGAATTACGGGGGCAGAACAGCACAGAGTCAGTTGGTGTAAAACATGCTGGTGTTATCCTGTGGCTTGGTGCCCCTCTGGCTTAGCTTGCAGGAGGCATCTGCAGGTTACCCGGCAGACCGTGCAATTCTAGAAAAGTAAATGCTGAGCCCAGAGCTCTGTGAATGACAAACTGATGGAAGATGACTACATGCGGCAAATGGACAGGCTATATGATTTATGCCAAAGGGTTTCCGGGCAAAGAAGAATTTTACGATATATAAAAGAAAAGAAGGGTTGGTACTTAAGACTTAAATTCACTGAGGAAAAAGGAACGTTGCCGTGCATGCATTAACTCTGTGTTTATATCTGTCAGTGGAATATTCTAAAACTCTGGACTGTTTTGTACTCTGAGGGTCAGTCATGGCTGGGATCAGAAGAGGAAATATTTAGACTGGTCTCTCCTTAGTAAAAGCTCAGCTCACTCTCCATTAGTCTTATTCTCTGCTTTTTTTTACGCAAAAGCAGGGAAATCAAGCTTTTTGACTCCTGAATGGCAGAGCTGGCCCAGAGCTAAGAGGGATTGCCGTGCTGAGCCTGGAGCCTGCTGAGGTTTTCAAACACCAGGGCCTGGTCCCAGGGAAGCTGGGCTGGCTGCAGACCTCACCGGCCAACGGGATCCCAAGGGAAGTGAGCGTGTGGTCCTCTGCTACCCCAAGCTGCAACCACTGCACGGCTCGCTGGTTCTTACCTTTGGCTGGTTGTAGTGCTCCATCGACATCGTGATGACGTTGACGCCGATGATGAACGTGATGAAGAGGTCAAGGTAGTGGCTGGTGCAGAGGGTGTGAATGTACTTCCGTGCCGGGGAATAGTCAGCGTAGTAAGGCCTGCGCTGGGCTTCTGCAGGAAAAGAGAAAGAAAGGCAAGGCGATGAACGCGGGCCCTGCTGCGCGGTCGGCAGCCATCGCAATGTGGCCCACAGGTTGTGTCTTATGCACGTCAAGACTCGGCCCGTGGGAGAATTTATTCAAACAAACCACATGAAATGGCCAAATGCTTCTACCTAGAACCTTCAAGAACCACAGCGGGGTTATCAGGCTGAGCTGAACCTCTTGTGCCTGCAGGAGGGACCTCTGCAGCTCTGACAACCAGGTCAGTTTGTCTCACAAATGCTCTCTGTCCTTACTGCGCTGTCTCAGGCTAGAGGACAACTTCTTCACCTGGTGGGACTCTTGTCACAAGCCAGAAAGGGTGAGAAGCAGGATGGAAATGAGACCCCAAGCCAAGAGAAAAGCTTCAAACCCAGCAAAGCTTCAACTCCAGTTTAGAGGAAAGGCCAAGGGCAGGTCTCTTCGGTCTGGACTCTCATACGCATCTCTCCTAATCCCACTCATGTCAGGCATGTTCCACGTAAGTAAGAGAAGAACATAACCCGAGCTCAGCTTCTGTAAGAGAAGGCTTCTGGTGTATTTAAAGGCTCAAGGCAAAGTAGGGCACATGCATGAAGGTTAGAACCACACAGGAGAGCATCAACAGCAATGGAGCAGGGTGCTCAGCATCTGTCTCTACAAAGACTATCAGCACAACCTCCTCTGGAAATTAAAAAACAAGGGCATGGTTGCATCTGAAAAAAAACATTCAGGCTATGACCACATGGATTTAATATCTCTGCCTCTATTCAGGACTCCTCCTTTCTTCTCTTTGAAATGGGGAAATTTCTGCACATGACCAAGTTCCCAGGGCTGTTCCAAGGAGAGTGTTTGGCCATTGCCCTGCAACCGAGTTGTATTTACTTCATGTGTCTCTCTTAAATTAGACCGTGACCAAAAGACGGCTGCGGGCACTCGGATGGAGTTCCATTCTTTTCAAAGTTAGGAAATGTAAATATTCAAAAAGTGTGCTTAAGGCCAAAGTCAGCCTTACTGTAGATTTGGCAAGTGGAAGAGACACGTCAGGTCACACTACGTGAGAGCAGGATTGTTTAACAGGATTGGGTTTGATTTTTTTTCAAATGTTTCAGCAGTTTCAGCTTTAAATGTTTTTAACAGGATTGTTTTTGTTTTTTTTTCAAATGTTTCAGCAGTTTCAGCTTTAAATGCTAGGAAAAGGGAGTTGCTTCACCTTAAAAAATAACAAGGGAAGTTAAGTTCAAAAGTACTCAGTGCCCCTCTGAAATACATCTCCCACTCCTCTCATCTTGCTAATGTTTTTCAGATGGGAGTGACTCTCGAACTGTGGTGGGGGTTTTTTAGGTAGTGCAATTGATGCCAGATTAGAGTCCAAAACCCTAAAATAAATTGGATAAAGGGAAACTGAATCTGTTGCTCTCTTTCAACACTATTTTTTTTTTCCTGGTAGTTAAAAGTGGAGTGGGGACATTTGAAAAACATTTCCTTCTGACCGGGGTCACCTAGACTTCTTTTTTCTGCTAATGGGTGTGGAAAAACAAGATGAAAGTGAACGCAATTGTTTCTGAATACATTTTTCTGTTGCTTTTATGTGTCTAAGTCCTACCAGTCATCTTGGACTGGTAGAGCCGTCTTTGCTATTGAGCTCAGCTAATCTTCCGCTGTGTCTAAAAAATAATAATAAAAACATTGCAGTACAATACTTAAGCCTGTACAATGCGCCTTCATGTGTTCAGGATTACGACATACTCTTTTTTTTTTTTTTTAAAAGTCTTCTTGGGAATGCAAAAAATCAGCTTGTTGAGAAGTCTGAGAATACCCCAGGTAGTCAAATGTTGCACTAAAGGCCTATTTATCAATGATAAATTGGTGATTAATGGATCTCAGAAGAACATTAGCAGTGATGGGCAGTGTGTGAATACCCTGGCTAGGAGTGCACGAGGAAAACAGGCTGTGGGTGACTTCAACCCCTCTCTAACCTGCCCAAATGAGAGCACTGATCAACTATTCAGCAAAAGATCACACATTTCTTATGTTTTACAAACTACTTATTCTAAAGCACAGTTACAAGAAGACATTTTCCACTGCAGAGCCACTGAACAGAAAATGCTCTAGGCTGCCCGTCAGCAAGGCAGCTCTCTCTTTACATGGGCTGGATACACAAGTAGTAAGAAGAACCCCCCCAGCCATAAAGGTGGATCTGGTTTATTGTGTGCGAGCGGCTCAGAGGTCTGTGCCTGTACCTTCTGCCAATGCTCAGCACTTGCTACACGTGGTAACCTGGCTGCTCAGAAAACTTGGGACAGGTTTAACTTCCGATGAGAGAGCTCCTAGGAAACGCCTTACTCATTTAGGATGTCCTACACCCCTGAAGCCAAGTTAACAGATGGAAAAGAAACTTTTCCTGGGGACACACATACAAGGACAGTCTGGGATAAAGTTGACAACGCTTCAAAACACATGCAACACCACTGTCATGCTCAGTGCAGGAACCCATGCAATGTCCATTAGAGGAGATACTGCTCATGCGAGGCTAACGGTGGTGGGCAGGGGGTGCGGGAAGGACAGGTCAGCTTCTGTTCTCGGCGATGTTGAGGTTGGGTCAGGACAATCCCATGAAGGCAGCAGGGTGAAAGCAGTGAGAGATCAGCCACAAAGCTTCACCGCAACTCCAATCCCCTCCGAGCAGGACAGAGGCTGCATTTCAGAGCTCCGCGGCCCCCAGCTCTGCTGGATCACTGTTCACTCCCGGTCCCTTTTGGAACGGGAGTTTTACTTCAAGTCCACAGCACAGCAAGTGGCTCTGGCCTTGTCTCAGTTCAGACACACATTTTTACCCCCTAGTGAGAATATATTGTTATTCTCCCCAGTCTGGGTGTAAGGGTTCGCTGCGCACACCTACTGCTACAGCCTGGGCAACCAGAGATGTGGGAGCTGCAGGAGAACCTGCAGGAGAAGAGCAGGGAACCATGGGGCTGCAGGCACAGCGAACAGGAGATGTAATGCATCCCTAATTCCAGGAGGCAAAATGCAACCTGTGCCTGGTTTCTCCAGGGAAATGGTTTCCGAGATGAGACTCCTATCAGCCAACTCACAGATTTACATCAAACAGGTATCCCTTCAGCTGCAGCTGATGGTTTGAGTTGGTGGAAACGCAAGAGGGAAAGGAGGAACCATCGAACACAGGCAAAAGGAAAACCACAGTCCTTTTTTGCCCCCACTTCTGGATGCTGGCTAATGCTCGAATCTCACCTCTCTGCAGAGTATTTTAACTTCTTTGATTGTGATTCTGCTGACATGAAAATTAATGAAGCACTGTCTCCTAGCTTAAAAGCATTTAGGTTGGCATTACAATTGCTAGCTACAGCTCCTCCATTATTCTCCTCTGCATGAAACATTAGAAAGCCCTAATGGGTTTATATGCATGCTTGGCACAGAGTAGCTCTATACCTGCAGCTGCCTGGAAAAATAAGCAAGATGGTTTGATAATTCCCTGGATGCAAATACTAAACACTCAGATACGCAGTGCCCAAAATTTTAGTTACAGCTTAAATGTTTCTGCTGGATACAGAGATGGTTGTGGCACTGAGACGATGGGCTAATTTAAATACTGCTGTGTGCTGCTCACCCCTAGAGAGAAAGGCTTACAGTCAGTGCTCTGAAAGGTATCTCTGCTGGGTCTTAAAACAAAACTGGCTTCTTCCTTCTACAACGTCCTGACGCTCAGCTCTGTGCTGGCAAACACCTCAGAGAAACACAGCCGTGGCCATGCTCTTCTTGCACAGAGTGGAAATCAGGGAAAAGCATTTGACTTTCCCGAGTTCTCAGTTTTTGGGGTCTTCCCAGAGCCCAGCGAGTTGGTGAAACTCCTGCAAAGCACTCTCTGCTTCCCAGCTAGGGCCTCGCCCAGGGCTGGGTCAGGTATTTCCTGCGTTGCCTGTGCTGCTTTCGGCACACAGTGTCACCCAGACCCTGCTCACAGCCTTTGAAGCCCAGAGCATCGCTTGGGTTTGACCTGACACCGCGCTCTGCTCAGCGGGCCAGCGGCTGCTGGCTTCACAGCAGATACAGCGGCTTGGATTTGGCCCCGAATCCTGAACGCAGAGGAGATCAAGCTGATCCATGTGGTTTTTAATCAAAAACTCTAATCTGGGGAGGCTGGTTTCGGTCGGTGTCTTCTGAGAATCTCATTAAAAAGGTTAGGAGCCGCAAGATTATTAAATTACACTACACTTATTTACTTAGTAGATATAGCGGATAGGGGTAGGGTCTGTCAGAAGAATATTCTAGTTTATCTTGAATCTTTACCTTCAGATGAAAAAGTACGCTGCGCCGTTCTGCCTTTAAAAACCGCCCCATCAAATGCATTTCAACTCCCTGCCTTCTTTTTTCATGTGAGCAGAGCTGAGTGGCAAAGCCAGTGCCTTTTTGCACTGCTGGCCCTGGCCTCAGCTGCAGGGCTGTGTCCTCCACGGGGCAATCCCTCTGCCAGGCTCATAGCTCTGCACACACGATCCAAATCCTGGACCCAGCTTGCACAGTCTGAGATTCACACTCAGGGCTCGCTCAGATGGGACCATCCAGGCACCGATAAGCTGAGCTTTAAACCATTTCCAGGGCTGAGTCCATGCCCACTATGGCTCAATGGTGCGTTTCTGTGTGCGTAGGTACTCACAGATGCCCAAAGAGCTCGATACACAGAAACACACACAGGGCTGCTACACACAGAGGACGTTAAGGACCGGAGACAGGACACAGAGACAAGATGCCAGTCAGACAGGGCGAGTCCAGATGGACGGGCGTTGCTCACATAGCACATCTAGATTCTACTCTTGTTCACAGCACTAATTCTTCCTCCCTTCATGCTCTTTTAAGGCCAAATGCTAGAAATGGCAACTGCAGTAAAAGCAGGGCGCTCTGCTAGGCTTCCCAAGGCAGGCTCCTTGCTCTTCTGCAGAATCACTGCTTTCCTGTGCCCATCCTGCCCCGTGGCCACCGGCCTCTCTCTCGCTCCTCCCCATGGGTGACACACGCACACAGCGCTGGGGCACGTGGAAAGCTGGCCAGCCCGCCATCGTCACCCTGCAGCATCCCAGCATGCCTGCACGTACACACAGACACATCGCCCCCCCCTCCAATACTCCGCCATGCACGGCACCATCCACATCTCGCATCTTTCTGAGTCTGCCACGTCTTTTCACCAAATCCATCACCTTCTAAATTACCTAGGAGGTGAAAACTCCTCCTGTTTACATTGAAAAAAAAAAATCCATTCAAATGAAAAGAGGAAGCTTCCAAAATGCATATTAGATATTCAGGTTCACCTTGTTAACAACTCCAATTTGGGTGCCAGGTTGTCCCTGCTGAGCAGAGGCAGGGAGGAGACCTGAGAGGCAGATGATCTGAGGTAACCTCCTGGAAGCCCAGCACATGGCCAAATGTTTAGCCTCTCAGTTGCTATATTGGACTTGATCGCCTTCCAGAGAGCTGTCCTACTCCCTGCGCACTCTCAGTGAAATGTTACAACCCACATCTGTGCAACGCCTGGGTCTGCGGTCTGAAATATCTCCTTGACTTTATCCTTCGAGATAGCTGGATAAAGAGAGGCAATGGAACAGAGTCCCTCACTTTGACAGGGACTGGCTCTTTTGGTGTCCAAGCAGTGAGCCACAGATGGGCTGGCTTCTAATAAGATTTACTTCCTAATCAGCAACAGCAAGTGGCTGCGGTTAAGTTACCCCTCCTTACCTGGACCCCAACTTATTTTATCTAAGGCTTCTTGATGTAAATCAGCTTCTTTTTTTTTTTTTTTTTTTTCCTCCATATCAGCTCTAAGTTTATCTGCACGTCTTCTTGGGTCAGGACACTAAGGTTGAAATATTGCAAAACAGGAAGACTCCTGAGAGCCTGAAACTGAGTTCACTTACTGTGCTGTAAACGCTGCCTTCAGGATTTCCACTTCTAATCCTAGCTGGAACCTCAAACTCAAAACACCAAAAGGGGAAAAAGGGAAATGAAATTGCATCTGAACTCTTCTAAATCTCTGAAGAGATTCGATGCCTGTTTGTGGCTAGCTAGTTTGCTCTAGATTTCCTTTTAACCCAGCTACTTAACTCACAAGCTAAAATGAAGCAGGCTTGCCCTTCGCTGTGGTGTCAGGTCAGTCTGTCATTAAGATCCTGTGGGACCACAGCGCAAACGTTTAGTGCTGAGGTCTCCCAAGGCTCTAATAAAGAGGATCACAAGAGCGGGAGAGCTGCGAGGAACACAGCTGCCTGCCTTCTGGAGGAAACTGGTTGGGGTTTCTACTAGCAGAGCCTCTGACTGATATGTCCTTAGAGCCGGGCAACAGGCTATTCGATCTAACTCAGTTTTCCTGCTGGAAAAGGATGCCTGTGGCTTGATGTTTGGGACACAGCCAGCCATTTGTCACACGAAGGTATTAGGTCCTTACAGGAGATGACGTGGGGCAGCACAGTGCTAAGCAAAGAGCCACAGGGCTGCAGAGGCAAGCGAGGCCAGAAGCCTTCAAGCCTTATCCCTGACTAAGCTCATCTCTGATTGCAGTGGCCAAAGTGGCGTTCCCTCACTTACTGGTAAAAAACGTTTGCCAGCATCTACCCCTGTGCATTAAAACCAGCTGGGAAGTCTCTGTGGCTGGTGTCCTGGCAGTTTGCCTGGGAATACTCACCAGGTACTATAGGCAGCTTGTCCCTGGTGCAGCCTGCCAAGGAGCAGCGGAGGTGAGAATTAATACATGAGAACCCCTGGGAAGGTTTGGGTAAGGAAAGGAACACAGGCTCAGGTGTTTTTCTAGCCTGGTTTGATGGTCCCTACTATATTCACTAAGAAAGAGATTTCAGCTAAAGGTCTTCTGTTGCACCCTAACGGCCTGTGCCTGGCCAGGATGTCCATGTGGACTATTTGCAAGGACGAAATGAGTCCCAGCACATCGCTCAGCAGGGAAGGGCTCCCCCAGCCTGTGATGGGGCAAGCATCTCTTGTAATGGACATCTGCCAGAGGAGAATTTTCTGGACAGCCTCATCTTGGGGCTCCATTCCTCTTCCCCAGGGCTGTCAGTTCGTTCATGCCCTCATGCAGCATGTTTTGGGCATGCGGGGCCATGCGCTAGGACTCTTCAAAAGCATCGCGACTATTTGTTTTTGCCTAAGGCAAGACTTAATAAATCAAACCACCACCACCATCAGATGCAAGCGGCACATTAAGCCACGGGGCCACCCCCCGGGACTGGCCTTCAGGCACACAGTAAGCATTGCAGCTGTTTACTCCCTGCATCCCTCAGTCACACCACGAGCTCCCGCTCGGTGCTTGGGACACCTTTACCTTGCAGAGTGTGATAGAGGACTCTGCTCAGGGGAGGATTTTCTCCTCGGCCAAGTAAACAGGAAACGCTTTACATCAGGCTTGTAAAGGACAATTCCAGAGTGTCGGCAACCCAAGGCTTAAGGTACCACCAAAGAGGTAACGAAACAAAACAGCCTCTTGAATCCCATGGAAACAAAACCAAAGGAAAACGAAAGTCTTGCTTTGGGAGCAGGCAGGGCTCAGAAAGATTTTGGTTTGTAACACAGTCTACCGACCAGACAGGTATATCTCCTTACTCCTGCGCTTTTTCTCCAAGCGTCTCAGCCGCTTCTCCTCCCGACGCCGGGCCTCCTCCGCCTCCTGGTGCTGTCGGCACTTGTGGAAGTTCTCCACCACCACCCCCACAAACATGTTGAGCACGAAGAAGCTGACGATGAGCAGGAAGGAGATGAAGTAGAGAAGCATCCAAGGGTTGTGGTTCTGGATGGGCTGGTAAGGTGGGGAATTAAAAAACAGGAGAGAAGCGGCATAAGACAAGATGTGAATAAATCAGGATATTGGGCACTCTGTAGTAACAGTACACTTCTGTGGGGAGAACAGGGCTGAGAGAAGTCAGGAGATCTTTCCTAAACCAGTTTCCTTTTATTTCCTTTCTCATCGACTAGAATTTTACTTCTGTTGTAAAATCCATCCAAGCCTCCAGAAGCTGGCTTACAGGATTCAATTATTTTGGTATTCATTTCATACAGCTTAAGAGGAATCTCAGTGCATCATCACACCTGCAAGGTGATTTTAGTTAAGGATAGGCTCCAACTTTGGGTGGTTTTTTTATTTTTTTGAGATGTGAGCTTATGGTTAACGTTTCTCAGTTCTCATGAGATCTTCAGAAGCAGGGAAAAATTATCTCCAAAGTGTAAGTGCACTTCTGATGAGGTACTACTCATCTAAGACTCTTGACTTGCCTTTGCAAATGCCCCATAACACACAAATTTAACGTCTCTTTTACAATATTTCTGGTTGTTTCCCAGCTCTGCTCCTTCCTGGGTTTTCAGAAGCACCAGAGTCACCCAGGCAAGAGACTTCTGAGAGCAACATGTCTGGACTCTGCAGTACATTTACCTGTTGGTCGATACCCACAGCATCCAAGCCATCGTACATGATGTTCACCCAGCCATCCTTGGAGGAGAGGACAAACAAGGACATGAGGGCCTATAAGAAAAAAAACAAACAGGAAAGATGGGTCCTGTGATCCCCAGGCACAGCCAATGCTCAGTAAAACCAATCCACAGCTCATAAAATATCATCTGGCCTGGAGATAGCAGAGAAGTGCAACATATCGTGGCTTGCTTTTACCTATTATTTCCACACCTGGCCAACTATGGTCGTTAACACTCCTTTCCCCTCACATATAGGTTGACTTTTGCTCAGACACCTCAGGCTTTCCAGTTACCAAAGCATGATTAAAAATCAATACGCCAGGCTGGCCCAGTGTCACGGGGTTTTAAAAAGCAATAACACATTCCAGCTCCTATTATAGGCTGCCCTGGTTTTCAGACATAGAAAGCACCTTATGTTTTTAATTTGCAGATATAACAGTTAGAAGTCAAGAGATTAAAAGTAACGGTTGAGGTCTGTACATGAGGGACTGGATGCAAAAGCAGTGGCTTTAAGACAACACTCTCCTATGAACAAGGAGCTGTGGAACTCTAGTAAGTCTGACTGCAAGAGATCAAGAGGTGACCTGATCTATTTCTGCCCAGTCAGGATTGCTTCTGATCGATGAATATCTACATCGTTCTTGGAAACTCCCCATGATGGAGGTTCCACACCCTCCTCAAGCAATACATTTTAAGTGTTCACCCATTCAGAACTGGTACAGAAAATCCCTTCTGTGAGGACTTTACCTGTCCCAAATTGTCAAAATTGTACTTCCGTCGAACCCATTTGTAGCGGGCGTTAGTGCAGTCAGTCTTTGTAGTGATGTTTTTTACATCAGGCCCATCACAGTAGTAGAACTTGCCTTTAAAAAGCTGTATTTGAGAAGCAACATAAAAGGGAAAAACAAAAAAAAGAAGCAGCTTTGAGAAGTCTGTCATCTGATTTATCTTTTTTCCCCTAGTACAGCTGTTTGCCAAGTTCAAATTCCTTTCCTTTCCTTCCAGCTCACATACTCAACACACAGAGCAGGAAAACACCTTGGGTGAAACTTCAGGCCTGGAGACATTGTTGTGCATTGCCTCAGACACAGAAGGAAGGTGACCTGTCTTGTTGGGATGACAACAATCTCCCCTCTAAGGAAGAGATATTATATATATATA